GAATGAAAATTAACAAAAGCTTCTGCACAGCAAAGGAAACAGTCAAGAAAACAAAGAGGCAACCCACGGAATGGGAGAAGATATTTGCAAATGACAGTACAGACAAAAGATTGATATCCAGGATCTATAAAGAACTCCTCAAACTCAACACACACAAAAACAGATAATCATATCAAAAAATGGGCAGAAGATATGAACAGACACTTCTCCAATGAAGACATACAAATGGCTATCAGACACATGAAAACATGTTCATCATCACTAGCCATCAGGGAGATTCAAATTAACACCACACTGAGATATCACCTTACACCAGTTAGAATGGCCAAAATTAGCAAGACAGGAAACAACATGTGTTGGAGGGGATGTGAAGAAAGGGGAACCCTCTTCCACTGTTGGTGGGAATGCAAGTTGGTGCAGCCTCTTTGGAGAACAGTGTGGAGATTCCTCAAGAAATTAGAAATAGAACTTCCCTATGACCCTGCAATTGCACTACTGGGTATTTACACCAAAGATACAGGTGTAGTGAAAAGAAGGGCCATCTGTACCCCAATGTTTATAGCAGCAATAGCCACGGTCGCCAAACTGTGGAAAGAACCAAGATGCCCTTCAACGGACAAATGGATAAGGAAGATGTGGTCCATATACACTATGGAGTATTATGCCTCCATCAGAAAGGATGAATACCCAACTTTTGTAGCAACATGGACGGGACTGGAAGAGATTATGCTGAGTGAAATAAGTCAAGCAGAGAGAGTCAATTATCATATGGTTTCACTTATTTGTGGAACATAACAAATAGCATGGAGGACATGGGGAGTTAGGAGAAGGGAGTTGGGGAAAATTGGAAGGGGAGGTGAACAATGAGAGACTATGGACTCTGAAAAACATTCTGAAGGGTTTGAAGAGTGGGGGGGGTGGGAGGTTGCGGGAACCAGGTGGTGGGTATTAGAAAGGGCACGGATTGAATGGAGCACTGGGTGTGGGACAAAAACAATGAATACTGTTATGTTGAAAATAAATTAAAAAAATGGAAAAAAAAAGAAAAGTAACAAAGTAGACAGATTTAATAAAAGCCAATGGATAATTGTATCTGAAGAAGGAGATTTGGTCATAGTGTTGATTATTTTGAAAGTCCGTGTCGTAAAGATAAGGACTATCAATTGCATTAAGCATTCTGGGGGTACTCATCCAATCATCTGTCAGTTAGCTCATGTATTCAACAAGCTCTGTTTGAACAGTTCCTGTGCACCAGTTTCATGGTAGACACTAGGGATAAAGGGAAGACAGATCCAGGAGGGCATCGTCTGGTGAGTCAGATGTGGAGAGGATGGAAAACAGAAAGATCATAAAGACAATGGGGAGGGGCAGACCCCTTTGAGGGAGAAATGAAGGCCAGAGAGGGGAAGGTGTAAATCCATTTGACAGTGTTGCTTGTACTTGAAACTGGCCAAATCATGTGCTTACTGTGCGTAAATCATCACGACTCATTCCAAGGAGGATATCTTACACTTCCTCCTGGAAGTATAAAGAAGCATATGGTTTTCTTCTCAAAGATGTTACAGTCTCACCAAAGAGAGAAGGCATAGATGTAATTTAATTAATATAAGGTGACTATGTGTCACAAGGCAGTATTTGATTATTCACTAGATAATAAGAAATACTTAATGAGTTTCTAGATGCCAGGTGCTTTATATACATATTATTTAATTTCAACCAGAAAAATGAAAGTATTATCTATAAATGAGAAGACTGAGGTATAATGAGATTACTAGTACCATGAAATAAGTAGGGACTTGAGCTGGAACTCAAACCTGGATCTGTTTGATGCCATGTACACGCCTTTTCAACTCCACCTCATTCTATCTCAATGGTTCAGTGCTCTAGAACATAAATATGTGTTTGATGGAATTTCCCATTTTCTATTGATCTAAAATGCTTCTAGAATCACATCTGTTGTATCAAATATATGATCTTAGGGGAGCGATTCTCACATTGTAGGAGGACCCTTGCGGGCTCCTGTGCCTTTTCAGTGGGGCCTCAAGGCCAAACCTCTTTCCATAGTAACAATAAGATACCTCTTGGTTTTTTCACGATGTTGACATTTGCATTACTGGTTACAAAAGCACTGGGAAGTGAAATCTCTGGAAATTTAACTCCACATCAGGCGGTGGCAACAAATTTTCATAGTGGTCATTGTATTCCTCACTGACACAAACTGGTGATAGGACAAAAACCTCCTCAGTTTCACTTAGGAATGCCCTTGATGAATTGGTAAAACTTAATAACATAGTCAAAATCTGACCTGGGAGTACTTGCATTCTGCCCGATGAAATAGAAAGTTCTCATTAAGCACTTTTGCTGCACAGAGATGTTTGATAGTTGTTTTGAGGAAAACACTTGTATGGTCATGTGACTGAGAGATGAACCAGCCATTTTCTTCATGGAACACCAATTGTACTTGAAAGACTGAAAAACAAATGCGGCTTTCAGACTTGGACATTTGGAAGACATTTTGTTTGCAAATGAGCAAAGTGAGCCAGGAACTTTGAGGCCAAACTGTCAGCATTTCTTGCCAGTGATAAAATTTGAGCCTTCAGGCAAAAATGAGAATTTCAGAAAACTTGGATCTACCATCATGAGTTGGACAGCATACCGACCCTGAAAGAGTTTTCTGATGGTAGATATTGGTAGTGATATTAACAAAAGTGATTTTTTGGGTGGATATTGTGTGATGATATATGTCAACATTTAGAAGATGTATATAACTCAGTAAACGAATTTTTTCAGATGTTTGATGCGTGATCTGAATATTTTTCAGATATCTGATGCATGATAAATCACACATGAATAAAAGATCCTTTGAAAGTGTGAGATAGACCAATGGATTTTAATATAACAGGATATGAAGAATTAATTGATGTGGTTTCAGATTCTATATTGCAACAAATCTTTATGAATTACTAGTTAAGTTTTAATGCAGTATTAAAGAAGATTATCTACAATTACCTGGAAATGCAATTAAAATAATTTCTCATTTTCCAACTACATATCTGTGCATGACCAGATTTTTTCCCATATACTTCATCTGAAACTCTGTGTAGGAACCACTTAAATGCAGAAGCAGAGATGAGAATCCAGCTGTCTTTCAATAAGCCAGATATTAAAGATACGTGCTAAAGTGTAAAATGATGCTACTCTTCTTGTTTTATAAAATGTTATGTACATTAGCATGCTATGACTTTATTATTATTATTTTAAAGCAGTTTAATAAATAATTTAAAATTTCTCAATTTTAATATGGAAAATATTACAAAAACAAAACCTCTTTGGTGTCCTCAATAATTTAAAGAGTATAAAGTGGTCCTAAGGCCAAAACTTTTGAGATCCACTGGCCCATATTTATAGAGGTAGTACAGTAAAGTGGGTAAGAGACTCTTTATTTTTTTTTCTCCTAATAAATTATCTCTCTGTTGTTCAGAATGAATATATTCTATTGATCTGTCTTCAAGTTCACTGATTCTATCCTTTGTCATCTCCATTCTCCTACTGAACCTATTTAACAAGTTTTTCATTTTGCCCATTGAACTTTCTCATTCTATAATTCCCATTTAGTTTCTTTAAAAAAACTTTTATTTATCTGGGATTATTTTATTTTTTCATTTGTTTCACATGAATTTGTAAGTGGTTGTTTTTAAGTATTTTCGACATCTCCTTTAAGGAGGTAGTCAGATAATCCCAGCATCAGATTATACGTGTTTGTTGATCATCTTTCTCTGGTTCTTGGTGTGATGGGTGGTTTTTTAATTATCCTGGGTATTGGGGTCTAGTGATTATCTTTTCCTGTTTATTGTATCCTGGACATTTTGGTTCTTACATTAGGAGACTCTTGATCCTATCTGAATCTATTTTGACAGACCTGTCACCATGTTTAGATTTAGCATAGAGGTTCTGTCTAGCTTGTGCGCTTCAGTTCCAATGGTAGCTTAAGTTTATGAGCCCTTGCAATGTTAATCTGGTCTGCTTCGTTTTTTTGGTGCTGCAAGGTCTCTGGCTCAGTTCTAGCTGGTGCCACCTGCAGGGTAGAAGGTAATTCCCAATATGCCTGCTCTCACTGAATAACCTTCCAGGACAGTGTGGGGGACAAGACTGTAGTCCTGGTGACACCATTGGTTGAAAGGCAGGAAGAGACCATTTCGGTACCTGGTTGTAGAGTGGGGTCTGGGATATCCCAGGACTTCATTGTTGTCCCTTCTGAGGGTGGATAAGGCTGCCCACCAATGACTTGGTTGTGAAATGGGTTTTGAGTGATCCTGGGACTTCCCAGTGGCTGCTAGACAGATTGGATAGCCCCATGGGGCCCCCGCTGAGGATATTGAGGAGGCCTGGGTCTTTGTGGCCAGGCTGCTGCAGGCAGATCAGATTACTGCTGGGGCCCAGCTTTGCAGGGGGACTGGGACAGTGTTTCTTTCCACTGGGGGATCAAACTGCCTAAGGATCCCCAGTTATGGAGCAGTGTTTAGGGTTCCCCATTCGTTCTTTGTCTGACTTCCCTTTGTCTGGTCCTTTGGCCACAGACAGCAAACTTTGCTATTACATGGTTTTTGTTGTCCATGCTTTTTGGTGGTTCCAGGCAGCAAGTTGCTCTTGTTTCCAGTTTGGGGGTATATAGGAGATAAACAGAAAGTCCAGGGAACTTATCACACTGTCATTGCTCAAGTCCTGAGACCTCTAGCCAGTCTACCCTCTACCCAACCTTCAATTATTTTAACATTGCCTGTTGAGTAATTTCAAGGGTGTGTGGCTGTATTTAAAGGAAGCACTAGGAAAAAGTGAGTTCACACTATCTTGTTTTAGAATCAGACATCACTGCACATGTTTTATGCAGAGAAATTCTAAAAATTAAAAAAACAAATGAAAAAAAATTATGGCAAAGTAGATTAACTTTTGACATTGTTGTCATCCTAAGTGGTTTATAACATGTTTGTTTATTTTTATAGGAATTATGTTGGAATATGAAAAGAGTGGAGAATTGAGGACCAAATCCATAGATTTGCTCAACCTCAGTTCCAGGTAAACTAGCTACTCAGTGCAACCTGGGTTTCATATCCAGATTTTTTTTTTACTGGAAAACACTGACCCAGGATGATGTGTGGATGAGCTGCATGAACTCAGATTGCTAGAACAATGTTCTAGTGGTCCTGTATTAACTCCTGTTTGTCTCAGTGAGGCCCACTTGAATGTCTTGCTGGGTAGGGAGGAGGTGGGAAAAGGATAGTCAGTCTGCCCTTTTTTTCACCCTAAATAGACCTGTTTTAATTGTTTTTAATCTTTTAGTTTAGAATAGTTTTAGAAAACTGTGAAGACAGGAGTTCCCACATACCCCATGCCCTGCATCCCCTATTATTAACATCATACATTCGTGTGTACATTGGTCTTAACTAGTGAACCGATACTGAAACATTCTTGCTAACTAAAGACCATATCTTAGTCAATTTTCCTTGTTTTATGTTTTTCTTCTATTATCTCTTTCTTTTCCAAAATACCACATTACATTTCATTGTCAAGTCTCCTCAGGCTCCTCTTGGTGAATGATCTCTCAGACTTCCCTTCTTTTTGATGACCTTAACATTTTTGAGGAATACTGGTTATTGGAATTTTAAGAAGACAATGGAGCCTGTTACTTTCCTGGTAGATAAACAGCTCACAGGACTGATTGCATTCCGTCCTCCTCATTAATTGTCATGGGGCAGAGTTAGGAAATCCTCTTATGAGATCATACTGCCCAGAATTCATTCTCTTTAGGAAATCCTATGCAAAACTAAAAAAAAAAAAAAAAAAAAAAAAAAAAGAAAGAAAGAAAGAGAGAGAGAGGGGGAAAAAAGAGAGAAAGAAAGGGAAAAAATAAATCAATCCTAGGCAAAACTCCACTTTGAGAGACAAAATCAGATTAGTGATTATCTTGCAGAAACCCATGTTCAGATAAAGTAAAGATAGTTTGAGTGGGAGAAAATTTTCAAATAGAACAAAAATATCATGAAGAACAAAAATACCATGATACCTGTTTCAGAGTTGTTGACCCAGAGAAATAAGGGATTTCCCATTGTGACTGTCCTTCTCCTTTGTCATGATTATCGGGGAGGGGAACAGAAACTGATAGCCAAGGGACCTCTCACATAACTGTAGTTAAATAGTAGATGAGCCGCTCTGGAGTTTTGAAATGAGCCCAAACAACATGGCTTCTCAGAACTGTGGCCACTAGAGAGGTCTAGAGCTTGTCTGAGGCTGAGGACAGGGAGTGGCTCGGGTGGTGATGGTTTACGTTGAGTTCTCTTCTTATTCCAAGTGACCACACAAAGAAGGTACTCAATCGTTTATTGTTTAACCAAAGAATAAATAGTGGCAAAGATAGTGCCACTGAATTTCACACGGAAGTCACTGTTTTATCTATTTTCAGGGAAGACAAGGTCTAAGATCAAGTCAGAATTGTGTTATTTTTGTAACTGGCACACGTTACTGATTATGCCAGCGCGTAGAAAGTTCCTTTGTTAGACATTTATTTATTTGTTTTTATTTATTGAGTCTGTAATGAGGTTATCTGCACCTTCTACATGCAAAGCTCTAGGTTAGGGTCAATGAGAAGCTATACAGAATCTTAATCCCGACCTCAGTGAATGTGTTTTCCAGTTTGAGAAACAACCTGTACTGAGTGGGACATCATGTGAGTGGCACAGATTAATGTTTATATGAGAGAATAACTTTCAGCGAGAGAGGCAGAAAAATACAGATTTTATATTTAAAAAGGTATAGGTCCTTAGGATGCAGTAGTCATGCTTTGTAGTGTATAATGTCAAGTAAAAAAAAAAAAGTATGGATGTTACTTCTGGTTCTGCTCAAGAATTTAGAAGAATTCTGCACATAAAAATATTTGCAAGATAGGGAACATTCTGGAGTTACTATATTGGAAAAGAACAATTAGAATTCCACAGGCTTGGGATGTACAGATTAAATATCTGTACATCTGATGAATATCTGGTGAATTTAGATCTTGCTGGGAAATCTGTTTTGATTTATAACAATGGTCAGAAAACTTTCCAAGAGGCATTATCATCATCTTAATTCTTAGGAAAGTATAAGCCCTTGGACAACTGACTCTCTCGGAATTTATCAAAGTCATCATTATAAACTGCCTCTGATTCATTTCTGTTCTAAATATTCATTCTGATTCCGATACATTGTATTTCTTGAGAGCTGGGACTGTGCCTTTTACCCTCCCAGGGCCTAAGCAATAGTAGGGTAAATGTTAGTCGGATGACTAGTCTTCCAGCTCAGTCCCTTACATGGACGGGACCTCGGGAACTGTTTATTTATGAAGAGGAGAGGCTTGCTTATCTGAGTTTCCATTTCTGAGAAGCAGCTGTTGAGACAGAGGTAGGAGAGATAGGTGGGTTATTGAGAAGTGACATCTGCGACAAACAGCTGACGAAGCAGAATTTGGCATGAGGAGCCAAAATGACCTATTTTGGTTGCTTTGTGGTTTATAGACATTACTCTTTGTCTTGAACAATTATTCCAGACTAGCAAAATTAATCAGCATTGCCATAGGCTATTTGAATATTGGGGGAAAGTTGAATTCATAATTCTCAGAGCAGCTTTTTTTTTTTTAAAGAGAACGATGCTATAGTCCATATGAAATATTAATCATCATCGTTCTTTGAAGGTCCATTTTTGGTTAGGTACTTTCTCTTTCCTTAAAAAATATTTAAAACTTAACCTTTCCAAACCTCAGTTTCTTCATCCCTGAAGTAATTATGATAAAAGCATTAAATTAGAGGGTTGTTTAAGCAAGAGAGCATATATAAGGTACAAAATATAGTGGTACCAGGAACATTCTGTAGGGGTTCATTAAAGAGACAAAAAAAAAAAAAAAAAAAGGAAGAAAATAAAGAGCTCATGTGTAGAACCAGTATGCACTTGGGCTTCTCAGGTGAGCAAATCATAATTCTTGCACACTTTCCACAGGAGAAGACGCGGTTCATGATGGTGCATTCTGAAGAACCTGAGCCACTTTTCTGCAGGCTTGATTTTACTGATTTGTACTCCCCACCCCCCGAAATCTCCTAATAAAGCTATGGTGTTTTGACATTTTATAGATGTGCTTCATAACACAATGCAATTCTTCCTGCAATGTATGTCTATGCAAATTTTGGCATAGAAAAAAAGTAACTTTTTTTTTTGTGAATTTCAGCACTGATGTCAATGCCTTAGTAGAAGAAATACAAAAAGCAGAGCCTCTAATCACAGCTTCACGATCAGATCAAGTAAAGCTTTTAATACAGAGGTTACAAGATAAACTCAGACAGCACAGCAATCACAAATTTTATCTTTTTAAGGTAATGAGTATTTAAGAAAACTAAATACAAGAACTTTAATGAATTAGTTGGTATCCTACCAATTTGAAACAAAATACAGATTATATTTTCTCTTTCCCCTCTGTATTTCACATATATTTGCTAAGACTAAGTCTCAACAAATGTTTGTTTATTGACTGACTAAGTGAAATTCTAACATTTATTTCTTGAGAAGTTAAAGAAAGATTTTTAGTAAGTTTGGCTGTTCTTTACAGTGTTATACTTAAAGGATGACCATTAAGGTTGTCTTAAGTTATTGAAGAATTAAATTTTTTTCCAGTTGGACTAATATCAAGAAGTTGTATTTCACAGTACATCAATAACTTAATATTTTCTGCTTCCATGTGAACTAAACTATACTTCAGTAAATTATTTATTGATATGACTTCTATAATAATTTAAATGCAGTGCAAATGTATCTATTTTTTCTAATCAGCTTTTGCTGATTATAGTAAAAATATCACAAATATAGTCAATTATTCAGGACATTTTTAGTTTTTCTTATTTATTTAACAATATTTAATAGTTTAGTATTGCTTCATATTACACTGATTTTATTTTTATTATTTAAATAAAACTATAAGAAAATTTAATTATTATTTAGATAATTGACATATTATATCTGAAAGAAAATATTCAATCTTTCGTAGTCATCCCTTCACTGTATTATTGAAAGATTAAGAAATTATTCTTATGATACCGCTTTGTTCCAGCAGGTGGCACTATTTAACTTCAAATATGAGTTCTATAACTCACAGGACCTTGTAATTTATCCTCCAAAGGGAATATTTTTGATAGGGAAAGGGGACAGTATTAATAATTATACTCCTGCAGTAGAAATAACTGGGTCTGGCCCAGCCTTGGCAATCACTTCATCTATAAACAGACTATCCAATTTATGTATGTTCATTTGATAAATATTAAGCATCCACCATGTGCTTGACAATGTAGAAATTGAAAGATAAATAAAATAATACATATGCTGACTCTAGAGGAGTTTAGGAGTCCAAAAGTAATAAAAAATTGTAAAATCTATATTTAAAACATATTTGGTGTATTTTCTCTATATACTATTCATGCATATTTACAAAACCATGTGCAGTATTTATTATTTTCTCTTTTTTTAAGATTTTATTTATTTGGTTGGCAGAAAGGGACATAGAAAGAGAGGAAACACAAGCAGGGGGAGTGGGAGAGAGAGAAGCAAGCTTCTCGCTGAGCTGGGAGCTCAGTCCGGGGCTTAATCCCAGGACTCCCAGACCCTGGGACCATGACCTGAGCCTAAGTCAGACGCTTACCCACTGAGCCACCAGGGTCCCCAATGTGCAGTATTTAAAAGAAAATATTATAAATTCGTGCTATTTGATATCTTATTTAATATCAGTAATTTATCTTAAAATCAAATTCATGGAAAACACAGATTTAATTATGTTTTTGCAATTATTTGTAACTATCAAATGTCTTAATGGTCTTAGGTACAAGACACAATGTATTTTTTTCTCATTTGTTCAGATAGTGACTATTGTCTGTTTATTTATAATTAAGACAAACTTGAATGTCTTCATTAGTTTGAAGTAAAAATTAATGAGTTAAACTTAATTTTTTTCAGTTTTTAATTTTAATTAATTTTTAATTTTAATTTTTTTTCACAAATTGTGATTTCTTTCATTGAAGGTTCTCAGAGCACATATACTGCCATTGACTAATGTTGCACTTAATAAATCAGGCTCATGGTAAGTTTCTCAAATTTATTTATTTAAAATTTAAAAATTTTAGTTTATTTGAATATTTTATGTATTTATTTGGGAGACAGCAAGAGAGAGAGCACGAGCAGAGTGGCGGGGGGGAAGGCAGAAGGAGAAGGATAAGCAGACTCTCCCCAGAGTGAGAAACCTGACGTAGGGATCAGTTCCAGGACCCTGGATAATTACTTGAGTTGAAGGCAGATGATGGTTAACCAACTGAGCCACCCAAGTGCCTCTAAAATTTTAAAATTTTTGAATGAAAAAAATTTATTAAAGAAATTATTAGAATATGTTTTATAGAGGTTTTAGGCTTATAGCAAATTTGGGCAAAAGGTACAGAGATTTGCCATGTACACCTGGCCCCCAAACACCCTCAGATTCCCTCTTTGCTGGCCCTACATTGACAAACTCATCATTATCACTCAAAGCTCATAGTTTGCATTAGGGGTCACTCTTGCTTTCGTACATTCTAGGGGTTGATGAATGTGTAATGACAGGGATCCCCCATTAAGACATCACACAGAGCAGTTTCTCTGCCCTGAGAATCCTCTATGTGCCACCTCTTTATTTCTATATTTCCATTTCTAGTCTTTACTTCTAATTTTTAACAACCAAGGAATAGAAATTTCTTTTTTTAAATTAAACTTGTAGATATTTAAGGTGACATAATTTGACATACATACACATAGTAAAGTAATTGTTACAGTTGAGCTAATTAACATTATCTCCTCAGTTACCACTTTTTTTGTGTGTGTGAGGGGAGCACTTGAAATGTATTATTTTAGCATCTTTCCAGTATTCAATCCAGTATTATTAACTACAGTCTTTATGCCTGTGCATTGCATCTCTAGCCTTATTCATCCCACATAACTGCAATATTATACCCTTTGACCAATGCGTCTCCATTTCTCCCACTCCCCGCCCCTGGTGACTACTGTTCTATTCTATGCTTCTATGAATTTGACTTTTTTTTAGATTCCACATATAAGTGAGATCAGACAATATTTGTCTTTCTGTGTCTGGCTTATTTTATTTAGCATAATGTCCTCTAAGTTCATCCACGTTGTAGTAAATGGCAGCATTTCCTTCTTTCTCATGGCTGAATAATATTCCATTCATTTCTTGATGGACATTTATGTTGTTTCCATATCTTGGCTACTATGAACAATGCTGCAAAGAACATGAGGTGCAGATAGCTCTATGAGATTCTGATTTCATTTTTTGGATATGCATCCAGAAGTGAGATTACTGGATCATATGGTAGTTCAATTTTTAATTTTTTTTGGAACCACCATCCTGTCTTCCATCACGAATGTACTAATTTACATCCCTGAAGAAGCTGTGAGGAGATGCCTAGAGAGGAATCATAGAAACACTGTCTTGTCAGCTCTTTCATTTATTTGAGTTTCAATGTCAGGATTTGTGTTCAACTTTTATCATTATCATTTGACGTAGAGACTGGCTTTTTAATTTTGTGCATTTTTTTTTTCTGTGTCGGGGAAGTATATTTCCTAATGGAGTATTTAAGGGATAACTGAGATACTATTATTTTACTTTAAAATTTGAGAGGCCAACATGCTAATTATTCCTGTAGTAGGATAGTCATGTAAGAGGATTGCAAATCTTAAGCAAATGTTCACTGAACATTTACTAGTGTGCCAGTCATGTTCCAGGTCGTGCAGTCTACAGCAGTAAACCAGATGGGTGGAAGAACTAGCATGTGTAAAAAAAGAAAAACAAAAATGAGTTCTTCAGAGACAGGCAAAAAAGCCAACATGGCAGCTCAGGGTGTGCTTTGGGGCAAAGTTGAAGTCCCAGAGATGGCCAGTACTGTGGGCCTTATGGGCCATGCGCAGAATTTGAATTTTCCTCTAGATTGCTAGGAAACCATCTAAGGAAGGTTAAAAAAAAATAACTCCAGTTTCAGTGTGGAAAACAGACTTGTAAGGACCAAGTACCAGCCAAGACCCATTAGAAGATGGCTTCATTTGTGGAGGCAAGAGATGGAGGCAATGGAGCCTGGTGAGAAGGAGCCACACTAGGGATGTATTTTGAGATTGGGCTAACAGGATTTACTAATAGATTGTGTGTGGGATGTGAGGGAATTAAAGGAATCAAAGATGGTGCTCATAATTTTATGGTGGGACCAATGGGAAGAATGATGCTGTTTATTGAAATACGTTAGAATTTCAGAAAACGTTATGATTAATGCTCTAGTTATTAATTATTTATAAGAATGATTATTCTTTTTTAAAGATTTTATTTATTTATTTGACACACAGAGAGAGAGACAGTGAAAGGGAACACAAGCAGAGTGAGTGGGAGAGGGAGAAGCAGGCTCCCTGCTGAGCAGAGAGCCCTATGCAGAGCTGAACCCCAGAACACTGGGATCATGACCTGAGCCGAAGGCAGAGGCTTAACCAACTGAGCCACCCAGGCACCCCTGGCAGGATTATTCTTTATTTTATTTAGTGACTCCTTTTTGAGTTAGGTATAATCAGAAAGTTTCTGATCCAAGGATTTAGATATTGTTCCCAATTCACCTGTTTTGCATCCAGAATTTCCATTGTAAAAACCAAGATAAATGGGCTTACAATATTGCAGGTAAAAAAAAAAATGAGGATAAACACCTTGCTATTGTCACTTTGTGATTCATTTATATTCCTTGTCTTAGCTTTATCACAGGAAGCTATGATCGGACATGTAAAGTCTGGGACACTGCATCTGGAGAGGAACTTCACACCCTGGAGGGCCACAGGAATGTGGTCTATGCCATAGCATTCAACAATCCATACGGGTACAGAGACATTCACTCATTCACTTATGCCTTTTTAATCCATTAATTTGTTTGTTCTTCTCCCCCTACGTGGAAAAAAGAGAACTAATTTGCCAAATGCCTGATGTGTGCATTGAAAGCCTTCTAAATACCTTCTTCAGTGTTTAAAGGGGTTTTGGGACAGGTATTACTGTTCTCATATAAAGTGTATAAAGTTCAAGTACCCTTCCCAGGATCACATAGTAAACAGGAGAGCGAGAGTCCAAGTTCAAGCAGAGCTCAGTCCCTTCCCTTCAGAGTTCTCTGACAGGCAGTTCCTACTGATGATTATAGCAATGGCATCTGGAGACTCTGACATACCCACATAGCACGGTTTACCTTGTTTAAAAGTTAACTTACCATCTATAGTAGGGAAAAAAATGTGTACAGTAACATGATACATAACAGTACAAAATATAATTGCATTTTCAACCAACCTCTAGTTACCTGATTCAACAGATTAACTTAGTTCTCTAGCTCTCCTTCGGCTCCCTGAATGCTTGCAACAACTGCGCCACCCACTGGTATGCCCAGCTTCTTGTCCTGCTGGTTAGGCAACCTACCAAGAGTTAGTTGTGTTTGCCCTTCAGTCAGCTTATGTTGGCTGTGCTTTCATTTGTAATTATGGTATTTAATTGAGCATTGCTTAAACTAATGAAATATGACTATGAAAATAAAGCTGTTGGTTTTTTGTGAAAACATAGATGAGGCAAATCTTGGAAAAAACTACTACTGAATGAAGTTGTATATGATATCAATGCAAAAATTAGAAAGCACATTGAAACATTTTGAAAACCTTTGCATTCAGATTGTTCTGCATGTATGTTTACATTCTCATCCCATTTTTAAGAAAAGGATTGGAAGTGGTAGAGGTTGGATATGATTTCTGAAAGATACTTAATGAGCTCTAGTTAGCCAATGAAAAGGCCGTGGCCTTGCATATTTGAGTAAAAAAAATTTTAATGCGTGTCTTTTACTTGATGACTCACCAACTTTTTCCATTCACCATGCTGTTTCAATAAATATAGGTATTATGATGACTAGAAAAAAACAACAAATGGTTTAAAAGTTAAGAGGAGAAAGATCCATGTGATTTTTCCTGGTAGAGGCTTTCAAGATGATGTGAGGCTCAAGCAGAAGCATGGAAAGTGGAAGACAGAGGGAAAGGGGAGGACATCCTGGGTGAGGGCACCCTGTAGCTCCGGAGGTTAGGTAGGACTCTGTCTGGCTCGCCCAGTGCCCCCGGCTCTCTAGTGGACATTTCCTGGTGAGAAACAAAAGTGGTCAAGATCATAGTGTTCTGTGTAGTTTGGACTCTGTTCTGGAGGACGGAGTTGTGATGAAAGCTTTGTGAACAAAGGAGGGACTCAATGAGAGTGCTATTCAGGAGGGCTGTTATGGCAGAGACAAGGGGCCAGAGGGTTTGGACTGGGAAGAAACAGGAGGCAAGGAGATTGGTTGGAGGCAGATAAAGTGGTAGATTCAAGAGACATGAAAACAGTGTAAGATAGTGGCAAGGGCAATAATAAAAGGGAGTTTTATAAAAATTTGATGCACTTAGAGCTGAAATTTTATGCCACAAATATTAAACACTTGATATGTAGGTTGCTAATGTCATTACATCTCTTTAAAATGTAACACACTTTTAAAACATTAATTGTGATGGCACAGTCAAACCTAATTGGTACATTAAAATGATTAAATATTCCAATTGCATTACCAAAAACTTAACTACGATGTGATGCAGTTTTACATTGTAGGGAATGATAATTTTTATAATATCTTATTTCACCAATCTGTGGGAGAGAAAGATTTTATTGAAATTATAAATGATCATGTTTTACTTCTAGTATAATTTCTATTTTAATTGCAATGTTATTTAAAGCACTTTAGAAGTATAGTCTCTACAATATATTACCATATCACATAAAGTCTACTTAGAAGATATGATATTTTTGCATGCCTATCCGAGAACAAAGTTTTTGGGGGGATAGAGAGGTCAGGAACCCTTCACTTTTTGGCCCTTTTATTGGATTCTACCAAGACCCCCTGATGAAAAACTTTCCTGTCCAGTTACATAATTCAATCTTTATGTATGGATTAAAGCAGCATTTTCCAGGGCATTTTGGGGCATTGGGGTTTCAGCAGAATGAGTTCTAGATAACCACCAAAGAATGAGAGGGAGTGTGTGTGTGTGTGTGAGAGAGAGAGAGAGAGAGAGAGAAAGAGAGAGAGAGGAGGGAAAGAGAGAGAGAGAGGTGAACTTCAGCCAGTTTAGTGTTTATGTGTTCTATATATTAGGTCAGGAGTAAGCTTTGATTCAATAAAGTAATTCTAAAAAAATATGTGATCAGTATTATCTTTTCTCATGTAGAGGCATATGGATGTAGAGAGCAGTGTGTGACCAAACAGTAATTAACTGAGAAACAACAGCACTTGAGACAATATGTTTGAGGGGCAGGAGGGATGGGAAATGGAGAGAAGGAGCAGGAAAAGAGCACACAGGGCTCTCAGTGTGTCTGAGCAGAAGTTGGTGGACATCAGCAGCTGATGAGGAATGCCTAGACTGGATGGAGAGAGAGCCAGTGCAGACTTTGGGTTGACAACCAGCCTTGAGTGTAAGGAAGCTCTAAGAGGGTTGAGTGGGTGTTCTCCAGAAAAAAAAAAAAAATGTCCCTGGAGCATGGATAGAAAGGACCTCATTTATTTTATTTTTTATTTTATTATTTTTTAAAGACTTCATTTATTTATTTGACAGAGAGATCACAAGTAGGCAGAGAGGCAGGCACAGAGGGGTGCGGAAGCAGGCTCCCTGTTGAGCAGAGAGCCCGATGTGGGGCTCAATCCCAGGACCCTGAGATCATGACCGGGGTGAAGGCAGATGCTTAACCCACTGAGCCACCCAGGCGCACCCCTCATTTCCTTTAGAATCAGAGAACACAGAAACACTATGTGGGTGGCCTGAGAGCAAAGGAGATATACAGGGCGTTGGTGTTAGTTTAGACAAAATATGAATTCTGCAACTGTGCCAAGCACATAGAATTTGCTTTAGGATATGTATTTTGGTTTTTAAGACATTTCACACTTTTGAACGGTGAACCTGCATTGTAATTGATGACCCAGTTGGATGAACATTTGGATGACTTGCTATAAAAGACAGGAGTCAATGGTAAAGGAAAAGTTTTAGTTCTAGGATGAAAGCCAAACAGGCCAACCTACTCTTACCTGTTGGTTGTTGATAGTAACCCTGCTCCCCGGTATACACAGAAAGCCTCTTGTTTGCAAGGTACTGGTCTTCACCATATTTCCTCTCTAGACCCTCCCTCTTGTTCAAAGACCTTACAATTAGAGTAATATTAGCATTATTTTCCCAAGGAGACACTAAGTTCTCAAAACCTTATCTAGTCATATGGTATAAATTAAATTATTTATATATTTTCATTCTTCTTCTTTTAAATTCAAAATTATCAGTAGACCTGCTAATAGAATTTTTTTGTATCCCTGCAACTCATACATTATTTATTTCCATTTGGTAAGAATTTTCTAAACTAAATTTTGTACCATATTCATTTTGCTAATTTAAAAGCTTATTGTAATCCCAAACATAAATTTATTACTTTTTAATGCAATATTTTAATGTAAAATACTTAAAATTAAACATATAAACTGATACTATTGAAAAATTAGACCTTAATTTTGTTGTCCACTGAAACAAATGCCAGATTGCTTTTTGTTTTAAAAACAAAGTAAATTCCTGACTAGATAAACCCATGTATTAATATCTCTTGTCTTAATTCAGTGTATGATATACTGTGCTTGAATTTTTTTTCAAAATCCATTTTTTTTTTTTTTAATCTTAGTGACAAAATTGCCACTGGGTCCTTTGATAAGACTTGTAAGCTATGGAGTGTAGAAACAGGAAAATGTTACCATACCTTTAGGGGTCACACGGCAGAAATAGTGAGTATATTTATTTTATTGCATTTTCTTTCTTTCTTCCTTCCTTTCTTTTCTTTTCTTCTTTTAATAGACTTTATATTTTAGAGCAGTTTTAGATTCACAGCGAAACTGAGTGGAGGATATAGTGGTTTCCCATATATTCTCTGCCCTGCCCCAAACATATCCCATTATCAACAACCCCCACCAAACCTGTACATTTGTTACAACTGATGGACCTACATCAATGCATCATTTATTTCTTTTTTAGTAATCCATTATACAAGGAGTGGTTCTACCTTTATGAATAATTTTCCAATTATATCTGGTATTTTCAGTTTGTATGTATTTTATATGGAGGCATTAAAGTAATTTATAAACTATTTGAGTTTTTATATCTTACAGTTGTTGTCAAAGACCCATATCCTACATTGACTAAGAAGATGTGCAAAGTGATAATTGCATTTGAATACCATATCCAACCTCACTTTTTCGTTTTCAGTGACTTACTTTTAAAGGACTGACTTAATGAGTGTTGATAAAATTCTTAGAATAGTTTTTAAAGTAACTTTTTTATATCATGTGAAATATTTAGCCTGGTTGTTTTCTGGATATCATTAGAACTCAAATTTGCATAAATAGTTTGCTACTCTAAATAGCTTTCGCTTTTGGGAAGACCTTGCCCTTGGCCAATTCTGCGTTACATCCTATAACAATTAGTGAGTTAATTGGCACCCTATGGGAAAAATGATAGCATTTAAAAATAAACAGGCTGCTTATTTTAGGAGTAAAATTTATAATTATCATTTGGATTCATGGTGTATTCATGCAATAAGGGCTCATGCTATGTTTAATATTTTGCTAGACACTGGGGGATACTATAGTGTAAAATTATAACCAACCCGTTAATGGCACTCAGTGTGCACAAAAGAAAGTTTTGTGCTAATGTATAAGTCCTTTACATATATTAGCCTAGTTGCACCTCATCACTACCCTAAGAGCTAGAAATTTCCCCATTTTACAGTTGAAGATGCCAAGGCATAGAGAGAGTAAGTAACATGTCCAAACTCGTGAGAAAAACATGATCCTCATTCTCATGCTCCCTTGGAATTTTGAAAAAGTTTTCTTTATATATAGTTCCAAGGAAGACTTTGATACTTTTCACAGTCAACAACATCAATCCAATAATTATTTACTACCTATTGAATGTGTCGAGCCCTGGCCTGTGTGCTTGGCATACCAAATAGAATCACACATGGTTCCTGTCCTGCAGGCACTTAGTGGTTCACTGGAGGGAGTAGAGGCATCAATAAATAAGTTCAGAGATGCATTGTAGCATGCTAGAAGTTGGTGGGGGGTTTAGTGTGGTCACAGAGGGGAGCACCCTGATGGTGGGGATGATAAGGAAAGTATGTGCAGGTAGATAGCACATTCTCTGGGCAGTGAGAGCTGCACTGGCCAATGCCCAGAGGGGGTGTGCAACAGTGGTGGGTGTTTTCAGCCTCAGATGACTCCATGTGGCCAGAGAAGTACTTGCCAAATGTCCCCACCTGATGACGTACACAGAATAGGCCAATATGGCTGTGCACCACACTGGGTGGGGGTTGGAGGTTGCTGTCTGCTGCCATGGTCAGAAGTGCTGGCTGAGGATCCCTGGTGCTGCCCAGCTGCCTGGATTAAAGGTACCATGTCTTGGTGGACTTGCACCGCATTCAAAGCCATATCACATGGTGAGCGTGATCAAAGTGGGGGAGGCTGGCAAGGCCGTTGTATTGATTCATATGTTGTGCTATGGGATTTGTACTTTATCCTGTGGAGAATGCCATGCTGTTGAGACTTTTTAAGTGGGAGATAGCGTGGTCATTTTTACTCTTTGGAAAGATCCTTCATGTGGCAGAATGACGTACGATCAGAAGCAGGGGCTAGCTGGCCATCTTGTTGCAGTGCAAGCAGAGACAATGGAGGCCCATCGTGAGGCAGGTGAAGAAAGTGTGAGAGAGGCTGGAGTGGAGGAGTAGGAGGGAGTTGTCAGGCAGATGTGAGGTGTGAAGGAGAAAAAGGGCTCCAAGGTGATTCCCTAACTTCAGAGAATGGCAGGGCATTTTATGTAAAATGTCTTGTCCATTTATATAAAAAGGACAAGCAGGTTTGTGGTCATATGACTTGCATGTCTTAGATTGATCCAAGCTGCCTATGCGATGTCTTCACAGAAGCCCTTTGGGGTTGAACTGAGAGTGAGGTCAGGGAAGGAGACGTGGGTGCGTGAGTCACAGGCATCAGGGTGGCCGCAGGAACTGCTGAGAATTGCAATTTCTGAAAGGAAAAGGTCAGTAGGGCGTGAAGTGTGATGGCACCTTGAGCACCTGGGGACGAGAAGAATTCTCCAAAAGATACAAAAAAGAGATAGGAGGTAAAAGAAAAAAAGCAGAGCGCCATCAAAGTTGTCAAGAAGGAATAAAATATGGAGAAGAAAGGAGTCAACACTGCAGGCATCAGGGAGCCTAAGTGGGGGTGACCAGCAGAGCCTTGCGATCCTTTAGTCAGAGTGATTCTTGCAGTTGAAATATTGGGGAATGGGCAAGCGGTGATGATGGTACACTATTTTTCCAAGGAATTTGGTTGTGAAAGGGGAAAAAAGGTAGCTAAAAATGAGGTACATGGAGTCAAGGGAGGATTCATTTTTATGTGGAAAGAGCTCAAACATATTTATGGGCCATTAGGAGGCACCCAGTATAGTAGGGAAAAATGAGTGGGCATGTCTCTGGTAGGCGTGCAGGGAAGAGGGCGCTTGAGAAGGGAGAAGGGATGCCTCTGCACCTGACAGTGGAGGGAAAGGAAGAGAGGACCAGGTGAGGAAGTTCCCCCCACAGGTGAGTTTTCTCAGGGAAGTAGTCGAAAGCCAGGTTATCCATGGGGAAAGGATGAGGACAGACAGGGAGCAGAAATGTGGAAAGGAAGAGTGGATGGAGCCAGAGGCACGTTCAAGTAAGGAGGAAATGCTGCTGAGGACACAGCTGCGGAAAGAAGGCACGCACAAGCAATACCCGTAATCTGCCAGGCGGTTTTCTTAAGCTGAGGGGTGAGGGAGAGCCAAGGACTGGGTGAAATGCCAGCTTGATACAGTTGTCAGGAGTCGTAGGGACATGGATGGTGCCAGGGAGAGACAAGGAGTGAAGGTACTGAGGACGCTGGAAGGAGTGATGCTTCCAGGGTGTCAGCTGAACGGAGGGTTGGCCAGGAAAAGGTGGGGTCTCAGTGAGACGGGAGATATGCCAGGGGTGGCTTGGTAAGGATGAAAGTGGAAGCATTGGGAAATTGTACTGAGAGATGGATGTCCAGGTAGTGAATCTTCTAGGAAAAGTGACACTGAGGTCCAGGGTGTGGCCACGGGAGGGATTATGGAAGGGAGTCCAGGGTCATGGGTCTGGGCTACTGGAATGATGGCTCCCATGAAGGCCACCTAGGACTTGGAACTGAGACTGTGAGCCAATAGCCAAAGACCTTGACTGGTGAGGGAGCAGGATGGGAAGGACTGTGACGTGAACAACAAGGAAGATGGGAGCCAGAGAGCATGAATCACAAAGGAGATGGATTTACTTTTATTCTTGCTCTCCTGTCCTCTGGAAGTGACAAGCCATGCCCGTGCCTGAACTAGGTGACATGGGAGAGCAAAGAGACCTCTTCTCAAGAGGAGAGTGCTTCAGGATTCAACCTGCAGAACACAGGCCACCCAGAAGCCACCCTGGTATCTCACTGCAGAGAATTAGGCTGAACCTAAGGCAATTGCCTTTTGAAGCTTTCCTATACAAAATCAACAATTCAAAACTCTTCTCTTTCTAAAATCTCTTCCATTTCCTGGAATTCAGGTGTGTTTATCCTTCAACCCTCAAAGCACACTCGTGGCCACTGGGAGCATGGACACAACAGCCAAACTGTGGGACATCGAGAATGGAGAGGAGGTGTTCACTTTAACAGTACGTGCATCCTGTCGCCAGCTTCGAGAGTTCTGCGCTCTCCCTAGCTATTGCTTAGCCTAAGCCTATTACGGAGTTTGTTGTTATTCATATTCTTATCACAAAATGAGCTCCATGTCAGAAGATATTTTTGAGCTATTGGTTTTCAGACTGTGATGAAAAGTACGTCCCAGTGGGTTTGTTGGCGATTCCCAATGACTTTGACGAGGGAGCTGAGGAGGTCTGGGCTTTTTTATTTTGACGAGCTTCCGTCTGTAAGTCCCACCAAGCACAGCTTAAAACCTAGTGCCATCTCTCCGGCCTAAAGCCAAGGAGGTGGAGGCTGACACTTTCTGAAAGAGGCAGAACTGGAGAAACTTGCCAGAAGATTCCCTAAAACGACAACTGTCCACACTGTCCTCCACTATCCCCGGTTTCACAGGCCTCCTGTATTACAAAGTCTGATACGACAAGGGGTAAGTGGCAGGAGGAGAAAGGCTAACGGGCACTGCCCAGAGAGCAAGAGCTGGTGGTATATGTCCACGGGGGTCTCGGTCTGTCACCACCACGCGTCCAGCACTTTCCTCCCACCTGCTCCCTCTGCTTCCTCCCCTCGCCCCCCATCCAAACAACAGAACACACATAGGGTGATTCTCTGCGCCAATCAGTCAGAACAGCTAGGTGGGAAACCCAGTTCTTATCCTTTCAAACTATAAATGGATTCCAAATTAGGACTCCTTTCGTAGGAGTTTTTTCTAAGAAAGTCAAAATGGACTAGAAAGAGAGAAAAAGCACTCTTTTCAATGAACACCAAGGGATTTTCTGAATTCAGAGTGCCATCCTTAATTAACGTAAGTCTATACACTCTTCCGACTTCGTTCTCATCATTTCTGTGGGGTGCTGCCTCTTCACTACCTCCTCTTTCAGAACGATGCCCAACAGTCTTCGAAAGGCTGCATCCCCCTTGGCACACCCACAGCTGTCTGCCACCAGGCCACACATCTGTTTTGTGCGCTTGTTTTCATGTTTTCATGTTCAGCTACATTTAATGTCTACCATTTGGAATCAGCCAGAAATTTGATGTGTAAATGAATATTTTCACTAGTGAAAAAAAAGTAATGTTAATTTGCTAAAATAATTTGGGAAACAAGGGCCATACTGCAAGCAGAGTCTCCTGCCGGGAGGAGCTTCTTGCCCTTGCCTCAGAATGTTTGATGCGTCGGCCCTAGACAGTGACCAAGTGAAAGTCAGGCCAAAGGCCAGATATTTATTAATCTATTTTATGTTAGATCATCTTTGGTGGGTACCTAGGTGGCTCGGTCAGTTAGGGGGGTACATTTGGCTCAGGTCACCATCCCAGGGTCCTGGGGTTGAACCCTGTGGGTTGGGCTCCCTGTACAGTGGGGAGCCTGCTCCTCCTCCTCTTTCTGCCCTTCCCTACCCGCGTCTTGCTCTCTCTCTCTCTCAAATAATTAAAATCTTTTTAAAAAAATCAGCATAAGAATAGTTAAATTTATTCCACAAACTTTTCTATCACCTGCTGTTAACTCATAAAGCATATAGCTTTTTTATTTTTTAAGAGACAGAAAGAGAGCAAGAAGTGGGAGGGGCAGAGAGAGAGAGAGAGAAAGAGAGAGACAAACAGACTCTCTGCTGAGCGGGTAGCCCTATGCAGATCTGGATGTCAAGACCCTGAGAGCCAAAACCAACAGTCAGACACTTAACCTTAACAGACTGAACCAACCACCCAAGTACCCCAGCCCCCCCCTTTTTTTTTTGCATATAGCTTTTTAAAAAGTGTTTTCAAGACAATGTGGAAGAAGCCCTCTGATGATTTCCCACATATTGCCCTCTTCCTGTCCATTAAAACAAACAAAACCTAGTTTTATTAAGTTAAATGGACTTGATTTAAGTGTATAAGTCAGATTTTAGTAAATTTACGGAATTGTGCAACCTTTACCAAACTCCAGTTTTCAAAATTTCCCCCAAAAGATACCTATTACCACCCCCCAGCCAACCACTAATCTCTTTTCTACCTACAGAGTTTTGCCTTTTCTAGCATTTTCTTTTAAACTAAGAATTGTGCCTTTGTAGAGATTGTTTTTCTGCAGGTAATACATGACAGTATCTGTTCTCTTTCTAGGGACATTCCGCTGAAATCATCTCTTTGTCCTTTAATACCTCAGGAAAGAGAATCATCACGGGATCTTTTGATCATACTGTTGCAGTGTGGGAAGTTGATACTGGAAGGTATTCTGTGTCTTTAAGGATTTTTTATTCTGGATCAGAGGGTTAAGAACACCATCTTTGCTGTTGATATCTTTTAACTGTGCTTTGGACTCTATAGGAATAGGATACCCCCTGAATAAATTAATTCATTATTTAATTCTTTCATTAATCAGAAGTGATATTTCTGATCCAGAAAAAAATGTGTGCATTCTTGGAATTCTGACCAAATAATGCCACACAGAAACATAAAAGGAGAATGTTAACAATAGCCTGGGTGATGGCTATTATTCCTTCTGTATACTGTGTAATCAGATTTCAATGGCTTGTCAGTATGGCAGGTATGGATCTCATGAGTAAATAAAATTATGGCTAATTTTCCAAATTTAATTTAGTCCAACAACTTCAATTTCCTTCCTAATTATTTTGGGTTCTAGTTGCTGAGAAGTTAACTAAATTAGACTCTGCATTGGAAAGCTCTACCTTGGACTTGCATCTTGATGGAGGGGCTAATTACCAGGGGTAGCAGTCAAGATATGAGGGGGAAGGAAGGGCCCTTCAGACATTGGATGGGTAGTTTCTGAACTACCAAGAGGTCTACTGGTCTGGTATAAGAATACTTCCAGGACCTCAGACCAACTGGATTATTTATTAACCATGGCTTTCTGAATTCTTAAGTAATGTTGTTATTTTTGAGTGCTTCAAATGTAAGTACATGTTTGCCGAAATGAAAATAATAGCCTAGTTGGCTGTTTCTAAGCTGTACTAGAACCATCTTTGTTTTGTCATCAAAAGTATTATTTTGTGAAAACCAAAATTTTGACTCTCACACCAATGGGCTTGACATCATTATCTGTGCCCTTATCCTGAAGTAGGGCATCTTTCACCAATGTGAATCCTTTCCTTTTGTAGGAAGGTGTATACCTTAATCGGGCATTGTGCTGAGATTAGCAGTGCTTTATTCAACTGGGATTGCTCTCTGATATTAACTGGCTCTATGGACAAAACCTGCATGGTGAGCTCAAGAAATATCTTTGCTTTACAGTTCTCCTGTGTGCCCTTTTTACTGGGTCAGATATTCATTGAAACACTACCACATTTCAAAGGTGCTATAAAATTAGGATTTAATTTATAAATAATTGGCATTTTTAAATGTTAACTTTCTGATCCCCCAGGTTTAAAGGAATTATGATGGAGTAAAACCATGTTAATTGAATCAAATGTATGACAAGATCTTATTTTCAAAGACACGTTATTTTTCTTTAATGTCTCTCTGTTCATTTGTTAAACTTTGATTAGAGTGAATCTTGAGGAGTCTCAAAACAATGTTTCCCTGCCTTTAAATTTCTGTTGCTAAGAGCTTATGCTCTGTAATTAATATTTGATTACATATGTGATGTATTATAATCTTAATTTTTATTCTCTAGCATTATAGTTTTAGATCAAGCTTCTTATCATTTGATGACCTTCTTATGGAAAGAGGACATTTCCACTCCAATGTCACGCACTTTGAGATTTTTCCTAATATAGTGGCAGATTTGCAATCTCCATTCTAAATGTGTGTCTCTGGTCTTCTCTTGTCCAGTGTGCCTTGTGAGTTGGTTGGCTGGGGTTTCTTGTCATGAATCCAGGTAAACTTAACAGAACATGTGGAAATTATACACATGATCTTGGCACAGTTATTCAGCTAGCCATAAGCATGTCATAATGACTACTTCTTCCCATTTTTGCACTTCAGACAGGAAGTCACAGTCACCTTCTTTTTTTATTGTAGCTGTGGGATGCCACAAATGGAAAATGTGTGGCAACACTAACAGGCCATGATGATGAAATTCTAGACAGCTGTTTCGATTACACTGGAAAACTTATTGCAACTGCTTCAGCCGATGGTAGGTCATCTGTTCATACATTTAATTTGTTTGATAAACATGTATAATTCTATACCGTAGGTCATCTACCTGATAACCAGCTGTGAGAAACACTACATCTGCCTCATCTCTGTGATGCTGGTCATTACACCACGTTGGTATCATATTCTTGGTAACCACAGGTTACAATGTCTGCGTCATCTCCTTGACAACCACATCTGATGTTACACTGGGTCTTCACATCCCCTTGATGACTATATATAATGGTATATTCTGGGTCATCTCCCTAATCATGCATTATGCTACACCACATTGACCTCATCAACTTGACCACCACCCATGGCACTGTAATAAATCTGCATTATCTCCTTTATACCACATATGCTGCATGTAGCACATCTTTGCGATGACGTATGTGATGCTTTGTTGTACATCATGTTCTTGTTTACCACCTAGGAGTCTACACTGGTCTGCATCATCTTACTGATAACTATGGGCTGGTGGTACACTTCGTGTACCTCTGTTCACTGAAGACCACAGATGATGCTCCAATGCCTCTATGTCATTTCCCTGTTGACCATGTATGCTATTCTTTTATGCCCACCTCGTCCCTCCAGGACACATGCTCTATCTACTCCAGCCCCGGGTCACCAAATGAGATACTGCGTTATGTACCATCATCATCCTGATCACCATGCATGATACACCATACTCAAGTTTTCTTAAAAACCATGTATGATATTGCACTCTACCTATATCTTCTCCTCAATTGCTGCGTATGATGTAGACTACGTCAGCATCATTGCCTTGATAACTGTGTGTGCTGTGATACTAGAACTCATCCTGATGACAAATATATGCGATGCTGCACTATATCTGTGACATTTCACTGAAAACCATATATAATGCTATGTGATGTCTGCATCATCTCATTGACAACCATCTGTATTGGTATACTACATATACAGTATGTCCTGGATGATAATTTATGATAGTAAACAACAGGTCATCCTCATAACAGCTATGTATTCCTGACAAACATATAAGATGCTATACAACTTCTGCCTCATTCACTGCCCCCCCATCATTATATCATATCCATGATAACGACATGTGATACTGTGTCTGCATCATCTTCTTGACAACCACATGGGATGCTATACTTAGTCTATGTCATCTCATGCCCATTATACAACAATGTGTGATTCTGTTCTATGAGTCATCACCTTGATAATGAGGTAAGATGCTATAGTACACTACATGTCCTCTTCCTGAAGACTGCAGTTAATGCTACACCACCCCTGTGCCATCTACCTGATGGTCATGTATGGAGCTGTGCTAAGTCTGTTATCCCTTTAACAACCAAGTATGATGCTATATTGTATCTATATCATATACCTGACTGTTATGTTTTATTTTATAGTCCTTGTCATTCCCCTTAAAATCATGTATGATACTACACTATATCTTCATGTAATCCTTTATAACCATATATAATATTCTACCATACCTTCACCATTTCATAGAAATTTATGTGTGATGCTATAATATTTCTACCTCATCACCTTGATAAACACATCTTCAAGGTCTGCTATGTCTGGATCCCTTCATTTACAAAACTACATGATTCCATGTTATATCTGGATTATATCCTTGAAGTCTGCTTATCACACTATCCTTTAAAGGCATCTCCTTGAGTGCTATGTGTGGTGTTATTGTGTGTGTCATCTCCACAGTGGGCTCATATGTTATGCTCTCTGTGCCCACAATTAATGAGGTTATGTGATGTTAAAGTGTGTAACTTCACTGACCTCCATGTATGATGCTACACTCGGATTGTCTCATCTCTCTGATAACCACATTATCTCTGACAATTATTAAGATGCCATGCTATTTCTATGTTATTGCCTTAAAAACACGTATGGTGTTATACTATGTCTGTATCATGTTCTTTACAATGACATCTATATCCTCTTCTTGAAAATCATGTGTGATGCTCTACTATGAGAGTTTTCTCAATTACCACACATAAGGCTACATAATATATGCATCATATCCTAGAAAACCATGCTATGTTATGCAAAACCTCCCAGACAAATATGTGTGATGCTTTATTCTCTCATCCCTTTAACAACCCTGTAAGCTGGTAGAGGATGTGACTAGATGATTTCTATATCATGTTCATGATAATCATGTATGACACTATACCATGTCTGTGCCATTTGGAAAACAGTATGATGATACATTACTTTTGTGTTATTTTCCTATTTTTTTTTAATTTTTAATTTTTTATTTTCTTTAAACATATAATATATTTTTATCCCCAGGGGTACAGGTCTGTGAATCACCAGGTTTACACACTTCACAGCACTCACCATAGCACATACCCTCCCCAATGTCCATAACCCCACCCTCCCCAACCCCCCTTCCCCCATCAACCCTCAGTTTGTTTTGTGAGATTAAGAGTCACTTATGGTCTGTCTCCCTCCCAATCCCATCTTGTTTCATTTACTCTTCTCCTACCCCCTTAACCCCCTATGTTGCATCTCCACTCCCTCATAATAGGGAGATCATATGATAGTTGTCTTTCTCTGATTGACTTATTTCACTAAGCATGATACCCTCTAGTTCCATCCACGTCGTCGCAAATGGCAAGATTTCATTTCTTTTGATGGCTGCATAGTATTCCATTGTGTATATATACCACATCTTCTTTATCCATTCGTCTGTTGATGGACATCTAGGTTCTTTCCATAGTTTGGCTATTGTAGACATTGCTGCTATAAACATTCGGGTGCACGTGACCCTTCGGATCACTACGTTTGTATCTTTAGGGTAAACACCCAGTAGTGTAATTGCTGGGTCATAAGGTAGCTCTATTTTCAACATTTTGAGGAACCTCCATGCTGTTTTCCAGAGTGGTTGCACCAGCTTGCATTCCCACCAACAGTGTAGGAGGGTTCCCCTTTCTATGCATGCTCGCCAGCATCTGTCATTTCCTGACTTATTAATTTTAGCCATTCTGCTGGCGTGAGGTGATATCTCATTGTGGTTTTGATTTGTATTTCCCTGATGCTGAG